CTTTATTTTCTGGAACAAAAGACTGTAGTATACCAAAAGAAGCATCTGCACATTCCAGTTGTAACTGAATTTGTGTGTAATGTGCTCCTGTTACTGATAACAGTGGCTCCATATAACCCTCAGCTCTAGTTTTAGTTTCCAGAACACAACGACCAGATAGAATATGTGTGTTGTTTGTTTGAACTTCAGTGACTGTTTTGCAGGATTCGCCTTGAAATATTCTATCTGGTGAAGCTCCATAATTTGGGTCAGAATCCAGACAGAAAAATCCACATTCTTCAACATCTGCTCCACTTTCCCTTGAAAAACAGACTGCTGCTTCATCTTCAAATTTTATACGTCTTTCAAAGTTTCTTAAGAACTTTTTGGGTTCTGGTTTTTTTTCTTTTACACAATGCCATGTAACATCATATTCCTTTCTTCCCATCAAGCCAATTAATGCTGGGGCTTTAGACCCAGTAATTTTACCAATTCGTTCAGTAAACCATTGCACACTCCTTTGGGCAGGTCTTGTTTGGGTTTCAGCTTCAGGTATGTTTGCACTTGCTTTAGTATGGCATGCATCTCCACTGGTGTACAGTATGTTTTCTGTGCTGATGGCTGTTTTTGCAGTACTGGGCTCAGAACTGTCTGTAAAGTTCAATCTTAATATGTCAATGACACTCTGGGAGCATTTTGAGCCTGACAAATCCTTGCACAACTCGTGAACACGTTTTTGATCCACATTTGGTTCACCACATGGTCTGGAGATGTAAGTGGAACTTACTTCAACTGGAAGTTTTCTCTTACGACCCCCTGCTTCATCTCTATGTGCTAAGTGTTTTTCAAATGTTAGTTGCTGAAAAGGCTTGCGTTTCATAAGCTCCTTCTCAGGATCTTGTTTCGATTTGAGAGAGGGCAAACCCCACATTTGTCTAACCTCGGTGTAGCTAACAGGCTTTGGAAGTTCTTGTTCTGCAGACATTGTTGCCTCGGCCAGTTTATACGATAGGGCAGCAACGTGTTTACAAAAACCCCGCCTTCCAGCTGCACAAGAGAAGTCTCTAGCTCCAAGTATTTCCGCAGTTTTCTTGTCAAAAAGTACACATATTTTATATGTTTCATCTTGTTTAGTTTGTTTCATTGCTGCCCGTGTATATCCACGAAGCAAGAGCATGTTGTGCTCCTGCAAGACATTGATTTCAATCCTTTTCCCTGAAGTTTCAAATTTTTTGGTTTTTGAAAACGCATAACCTTCTAGTAAGTGCCTCTTCCCTTCTGCTTTTGCAAAATAATTTTCCACAATTGAATGGGTTATTACTGGTATGCCATGAAGTGAAATAGTCCAGTTTTCTTTGTTGATAACGTCTTCTGTTTCGAGGATTTTTTCGATTAAATTTTGTTCCTCGCTGAGGCTTTCTTTCCTCTTCTTCTCGTACGTATCGCCACTTGGATCTTTTAAAAAATTTTTGTCCCATCCCATTGAAATGTAAACCTTAATTCTGGCAAGAAACATTAACAGAAAACATTTCAATTAGATATATTCTATATAAAACAACGTAAAGACATTTCGTATAGGCTTTCAGCAAGTGTCACCAACTTACTTCTCTATCAACTCTCCGCGTCTAAGTCCACTTAAATTTCGACAGCCTCTGCATTTCAACCATAAAACAGCTTCTGCCTTTGTTATTTCATCGACCTTTTTACAAAGTTTTGCACCTGGAATATCATTTTCATTCAACAAAATGTTCGAACTGTTTTCTCCCGCCATATTGTTCTTTTTGACAACATGTACATTTTACCAGCATGCCTTGCGCGGCGCCATCTTTTTCGTTATGGTGAATTGCTTGTAAATTAGCCATGCTTGTCAGCCATATTTTTGTTTTGACATTTGACATTGACTGAATTCCAAACAAATATTTCTGTCAAAGATAGCTGTATTTTATTTTATTCTTTGCAAGAAAGAAAGATATAATGATAATAAAAATAAGTGCAATAATCATCAGCGAGAAAAGTATAGAAAAGAGGGTAAAAACCTTGAGGGAAACTACTTACTTGAAAACAGCCTCCTTCGTGTAAAAATGTGTACTTCGAACATCTAAGCTGACGACAAGATACTTATCACATGATTTTTAGCTGTTTGCGGTAAACACGAAAATACGCCAATCTAAGACTCTCTACTGTTAATTGAGACAGAACCAGAGGCAGAAGGCATTTGCAATCAGCCCAACTGCCTATGCCTGAAGACCAATTCCGTGGGTTAGATCTAGTGATTCACCGCTCCACCTTATTAAAGGACATGAAAACAGCATTTTCTGATCCAACAATATTAGAAGTTTTAACATTTTTCAAAGTTGTTTATGCACACAGTGTTATAGATGAGGGTGAGGGAAGGGGTGTGACTCGGGAAGTTCTAACTGAGTTTTGGCACCTTTTCTATCAGTCGCTAACCATTGGAGTATCTACCAAGGTACCAGTGAACCGTCATGATTATCAAAAGCATCAGTGGAAAGCTGTGGCCAGAATTTTATTGTATGGCTACTGTAAAGAAGGAGTATATCCCACTCCACTGTCTTCAGCGTTTGTTGCTTGCACTATTCTAGGTGAAAATCATGTTCCTAACGAAGTCCTAATGAGCTCTTTTATGGCCTACATAGCCCAAGATGAGAGAGAAGTAGTTGACAAATGTTTAAAAAATAGGTCAACAATTGCTGATAACAAAGATCTATTAATGTTTTAGGAGGATACAAATGCCATCGTAAACCTGACGAGGAAAATATTGAAGACATATTACACCAATTAGCCCATCAAGAGATCATCCAACGGCCCCAGTATGTCTCCAATTGCTGGGCAACGATATTACAATCACTAAAGAGTCGCCCTCCCTTTCAAGATACGGCAAGCATTCTTCAATTTTATGAAAATATGAAACCGACGGCCAAAAAGATTTTGAAAAACCTACATGCATCTCCAATAAACGAAGCCCAACGAAACGCTTTGGATCACCTGGCCCGTTATATCAAGTCTCTAGGAAGTAATGTAAGCGCATTTCTTCAGTTTACAACGGGTGCCGATATCATGGTTGAAGGTAAAAAATTGAAAGTGACATTTACAGATCTTAACAGGCTACAACAACGACCTGTAGCCCACATGTGCAGGTCAGTGCTTGAGCTTCTGTGTACTTATGAATTCTATAATGAGCTAGTTAAAGAATTTTCAGCCATACTCAGGGAAAAATCTGCATGGTCATTTGATATTGTGTAAACTTCTTTGAATATTCATACAGACTTGACATAGAAGAATTAATAGCATTAATGCATCTTAGCATTACTAAAGAACTTTTGACATTTCGATATTTAACTTTTAAGCATTAGTAATTGTTTCTTTACTCAGACTTTAGAGTTGATATTTAGTCTGCTAAGATATGTTTAACATACATTTACGGGCATACATACATTTAGTTTAAAATTAAATGTAATGATTGTTTGTTGTGTTTATATAACTGCATGTTTAAGCTGCTTCCACTAGTTTTTCATATGTCACTAAAGCCTCCCTCCATGTCTGCATCTGTCCTATTGCTAAGACACTTGCACTATTTGAAAAATACTCCTGATATAATGAATCGTTTTCTGTTGTTACATTCATGGAATCCTCAATTCCGGTGAGGTTGCACTTGAGAAACTCTTTATTGAAGATAAAGTTGACTGGGGATGCCAGCTGCAGTATAGTACCTGGATTTGCATACATAGTGGTTATTCCAAGAGTCCTTAATTTCTTGAAGACCACTTCTCAGAAGTGGGCTAAAGCAAAACCAGAGACACTGCAGGTGAAGAGTGTTGCTGGTGTCTAATATTCCTCTGGCTATCATATCCTTAAAAAAATTCATCCACCAGGAAGACCATGATGGACGGAGGATAGTCCACCATGCCTCTATTTGTTGATTGGTGTGCGATGATCCATAACAGTGTGCATTGATGCCACAATTGACATCAGTATGGTTTCTGCGTAAAAAGCACTGAGTGGATGCCATGATTCCGTTTTCTGTCCCCCTGTCTGTTCTTAGTATTTTTGGACAGAATCCTAAATTAGACACACAATCATAAAAAAGCCTACCTACAACTTTGGGGTCATTATTTGATGGTACAAGTTCGAGCCATATTATTTTTTGACTAAATCCATCTATGCAGCCGTGGATTGGGAAGCCGTACAGCGCTTAAGCTTATCATAGCCGTCAGCGTGCCAACAATAATTTGGCCCTGGATTAAGGTGGCTACTTCTACAAAGACGGTTAGCTCTTCTTAAACACGTTCCTTCAGGATCGACTTCTGAAAGGATTGTTTGAACAATTAAACAAGGAGCTTGCAATCCATATTTTGACTGCAGTCTTCTCCACATAGCTCTGTAGCCTAACATTTGACCACTTTCATCTAGCTCTTCAATAATATACCTTTTTACTTGATTTCTATCTATTGAGTTGTTTCGACGTCGCAATCCATATTCCTTAAGCTTGTTTAATAAAGTTCCTGTCTATATTTTTATTGAATGATATTTTTCTAGCAACTGTAAAATAGTTTTATAGGTGTAGTTCTTACTAAAATAGTCCCGGATGATATCCTCCATTTGCCCACCGAAGAATAGTGCTACGTACCTCACTCAGTATTTACATTTATTTTTATGGACGTCATGGCCACCTTTTTATTTGTGCAAGTATTTCAATTTATTTGTTGTAACATTATACTATTTTAATTTGTGTGCTTGTCTTCAATTTGTGTGCATGTTTATTCATGTTTTTTTTATAGTATGCGTGTATATGTATTGGTTTGTTTGATATATGCGTGTATTTGAGTTTGTATGCGTGTACTTGAATTTGTATGCGTGTATTTGACTTTGTATGTGTGTATTTGACTTTGTACCTGTGTACTTGAATTTGCATGCGTATACTTGAATTTGTATGTGTGTATTTGAATTTGTATGTGTGTTTGTACCCCTGGGCCACCATAGTTTAGTGATAGATCTTGGCATAGGATTTGATTCCTATGCTCACTTGGACAAAGTAATGCAAGCATTTCAGAAGAGCAATTTTTTACAACTCTACAAAAGAAGTTCAAGAAGTCTGGAAGGTTACGCAAAGAAGTGTCCAAAGAAGAAATGAAATCCAGAGTTGTTGTATAGGCAGTTGGATTTTGCATGTATACATGGAGGCAAGAAATTCCTGACTAAATCCAAAGGAACGCGACCAAACCAGCAGTAAGTATAACTTCAATTCAATAACAAGGATTTTATTCTTTTTTCACAAACATGAACTGATGTAACAATGCAGTACATTTAATTCAATTGTCTTACGATAACGTACGAGCGACAGGTAGGATTATGTTTGTACATTTAGTTAGGCAATGAATATTCATTCATTCGTTCAGTCATTCATTCATTCACTCAACAGCACCTTTCAAATGGGTTGCCCGGTGGTCATAAAACTAAGAACTTCGAAAGATGGCAGTAAGCTGGTGATAAAAGAATTTGTTAAAGAACACAATCATGTGATTAACAAGGTATAGCGTAATTATAAAATTTTGTAGAATATTGTATCAAGAATTAAGAAATGTTTTCAAGCAGCAGATCGTAGTACTAATTACATGATTGTAACTAATGTGCAGGCTGGCTTTCAACATCTTCCGCGTTAATGGACTGTCAACAATGATACTAAAGAAGAAGTGAAATTGATGCTACAGATGAAAGCCAACAAAAAGCTCATACAACAGCATATAAGTCAGGGAACTGGAAAATCAGTGACCTTAAAGGACGTTCATAATATGGCAAAGAAAAGACAAGGTGGATTAGCCAATCTAATTGATGAAATGAAAAAACTACCAGGTAATCATGAACTTAATTATCCAAAATGACCTCCAATATGTAGTGTACATGCAACACCAGATAATTTTGCTCATTAAGAAGAGAGCGAGAATTGCACTTCACAGAAATCAGAATGTAACTAATTTGCTTTGTATGTTTTAGGTGCAAAAGTTGAGGTATATGTAGACCATGAAAATAATTTCAAAGCACTTTTCTTTCAAGACCAGGACAGAGATATTTGATGCCTATCCAGAAATCCTTCTTGTGAATGCAACATATAAACTTAACAACCTGCGCTTACCTCTGTACGTCATGCTTCTATCTGATGGAAATGGGGAAAGTGAAATTGTAGGCGTCATGTTAGCAGCCAATGAACACGAAGACACAATTAGGCAGATGATTATCTTCTTCAAGAACCTTAATGCTAAGTGAAGGCAAATAAATTGCATCATGGCAGACAACGACATGACCGAACGTCAAGTGATGAAAGAAGAACTTCTACAAGCTGCTCTACTGAATTTGTTTACACTCCTTACCATAACATGACAACAAAGAAAAGGAAAAGACACCGCTTCTGGGTGAGAGAAATTTTTAGGGAAACGAGAAGAGCTTGGCGTGTAGCATAAATTAGCCCAAGAACTTTGTCTACATGATAGGGAATATTTCTTCAGGTTGGTACTTCACAATAATTTTCTATTTATAAAGTTATCTTTTACTTCATAAAAAACTCCCTACTTATTTGGCATAAATTTCAGATTCTTCTGTATGTCACCGGACCGTTTTGACCATCTGTTATCACTTCTTGGACCACTCATTGCGAAAAAGCACTGCAAGTCACATAAATCACTTTCCGAGCGTCTTGCTGTTACCATACGCTATCTTGCCACTGTGACTCCCAAAAAAGTCACATATTTTATTTCAGAATTGGGCGTTCCACTGTATCTGATATTGTGAAAGAAACTTGTGCCGCTTTATGGACTGCACTGAATCAGGAATACCTTAAATCACCAAGTACAGAACAACAGTGGACTAATATTGCTGATAAATTTGAAAGAGAATGGAACTTTCCTCATTGTCTTGGTGCATTAGATGGAAAGCATATCGCAATGGAATGTCCTCCTAATGCAGGATCAGCGTTCTTCAATTACAAAAACTTTCATAGTATTTATTATTGGCAACATGTGATGCCAAGTATTGTTTTACCTTAATGGGCATTGGGGTATATGGACGAGAAAATGACGCTGGAGTTCTCACAGATTCTGCCTTTGGTGAAGCATTTGAATCTCATGCAGAACACCTGCAATTGCCCACGCCAGGCAAAGTTGGTGCAAGGTCTCTACCTTATGTATTAGTCGCAGATAATATATTCCCTTTAAAAGAATGGCTAATGAAAGCATTCCCAGGGAAGAATTTAACTGACTCAGAAAGAGGTTTTAATTATAGATTATCAAGGCCACAAAGAACTATAGAAAATGCTTTTGGTTTACTGTCAGCAAAATGGCGTAGTTTTCGAAGACCAATACGAGGCAGTGTTAATTTAGTAGAGAACTTTACTAAAGCCACAGTATGCCTACATAACTATCTACAACTGATAATGTTGCCTACATTCCAGATAGGTTTATTGATAATGAAGACTCGACTGGCAACATAGTTCAGGGTGACTAGAGAGAAGTTGTGGAAAACAATTGAGGAATGAGGACAAGTGCCTTGGCACTTATGTCATCTGGAAGGACAAGTGCCTTGGCACTTATGTCATGTTCGAAGCTGTAGTACTGTTAATAATTAACAAGATTTTGTTCAAAATAATGAAGAAAGTAACTATCAATTGAGTAAACATTCTCTACATAGTGCTGCCTGATGTTTTACAAATGGATTAATCATGTGTAACACAAGTGACTTGATAAACAGTCCATGTTTGAAAATTTTCCTGGCAAAGAATTGTTTAGTGTATCATAATGTTTAATGATGTCATGTTTATTACATCTTAATTACTATTGAGGAAGAAAATAACAAATAGCAACACACAACAAATGTAATTATGATTTTTTCACTTTCTAATAAACTTATAATATTGTAATATATACACTGTATAATATAATGAAATTCAAAAACTTACAATTTAATGAAATGTAACATGTAATAAATATAACTTTTAACAACATTTAACAATATATTACGAAGAATTTGTATAACATTACTGTTGTGTTCACGGTCGGAGGACTGAGGGAGAGTAGAAAAGCAAGATGGCAGATATACGAATGGTGTACGTTGTTATAATATTGTTATAATACAAATAAAATAAAAGGAACATAAAATTGGCGACGAGGATAGAAAATTTGCTGTACACTAACTTTATAGTTTTCCAGATGTTTCAATTACCGGCAGTTAAGCCGTTTTCGTTTTCTTCGGAGTATACAATGCTGGAACAGCGTTGAGACAGATGGGTTCAATCATTGGAGTATTATCTCGCTGCGTCTAACATAACAGACAGTGTTATGTTATATATATATATATATGAACTTGGTTTTGGTTAAGATTTCTTCAGACATAGAATTAAAGCACACGAGGTGTATCTCCAAACGTTTCGCCTGTTATGGCTTCTTCAGTGGAATGCTTTACAATGATATTTCCTCCTATTTATATACAACTAATTAAAATGCTAACTTACCAATGAGTATGCAATGTCTATAGTGTTCCATTATTTTAAATTCTATAAAAGCATGCTCATGCATTTAATGTGCCATTATTAGGCAAACTTATTAAAACTCACTAATTTATAATCTATATAGTCCCGTAGTTTAAAATTCTATACAATGTTAATAGTTTAGAAATAATTCAAACACTGATTGTTCTGCCAATACAGCTGTTCATCAAGTCTCCAGAATGTTTTTGTATTTCAAATGCTTCAATGCATTTCCTCTCCACGTTATTCGCGATATTTAGCATGTAAAATCATCCATCTTATTACAGGTAACCTGGATTTCTTGTGGGATTCCAAATGTTTATAAACCGTCTGCTTTTCCATTTTCAAGTGTTCTTTAATCCTTGATCCGATTGTTCGCCCCGTTTCCCCAATGTATACGATATCACATGCTGAACATCCGATTTTGTAAACAACATTCTTCTTTAGACACAAGTTCGATTTCGAAGATAATTTGCACGTTTCACATTCGCTCGGACAGTTCTGTTGCGTCTTTGGTGGCGCAAAAACTTTAGACAGGGGTTCACCATTGATGAAGTGTATTCTTACATTCGGTATTCGTGATCGCTTTACTACCCTAATAGCCTGCTGCTTAAATTCTTCGTTGATAAATGGTAGCTTTATATAGATAGATCGTTGTTGTTCTAATTCCTCCGGTTCATTATGTTGCTGGATATGTCGCTGTTTATTTTCATAAATCGTCTTCCTAATTATAGATTTAATGAATGTTTTAGGATAGCCATTGGCAGTAAATAATTTTGTGATCAGATTGAGTGATTTCTTTCTTAGAATCAGTTGAACATTTGATAGCCCTATTTACTTCCCTAATCACTATGGCTTGTTTGGAGAATATTGACCCGTGACTGTCCCAGGGTGTGATGCATCGGCTGTGAATTGGTTTTATATAAAGGGTTGTACTAAATGTTTGAGTGCCCATGTTCCAGGTGACAAGGGTATCCAAAAACGGTAGTTGATTGTTGTTTGGCAATTCAAGTGTGAATTTGATTGCGTTATTAAGGTCATTTGCTAATGTTAAAAGCTTTTCTCCTGAGAATTCTTTACTTAACAGGAAGGCAAAATAGTCATCAATAAATCGCTTGAGAGTGACATATCCATTGGACTTAATTAGGATTTGGTTATCGAGTTCGTTCATGTAAATAATCGCCAAAACGGGGGCTAGGTTGTTTCCCATAGCCAAACCTGATTGTTGTTTGTAGCCTTTGCCGTCAATCAAGACCTTGTCGCTAATCAAGCAGAGACGAACCAGTTCTTCGAAGTCTTGGTCGCAAAGGGCATGTAATTGGCAATCAGCTTTGTGTTGATAGAAGAAACGCCGAGTGACTGTGAAAATACTTGGAGTATGGTCGTCTATATCAACCATTGGTATAGACCCATATAAGTTACATACGTCCAAGCTGCAGAAACCATGTACTAAGTTACCATCTGTATTCGAGATAAAACTGATAAACTCGTCAGTGTTTTTTAAATGTGCTAGAACGTGTTTTAAAACACACACACATATATATATATATATATATATATATATATATATATATATATATATATATATATATATATATTATGGGATTAAATGGATTAAATGTCAGGGAGGAAACTTAAGGTTAATTTATGTATGCAAATTTGTTGTAACTACATAAGAAGGCTTAGGATTAGTAAGGAAACATTTCTGACGAAGGGGCTGCGCCCCGAAACGTAGTATATATTACAAGATGTATTTGATTTGATTTAATTTATTAAAAGTTTAATTTTTGAACACCGCGATGTGGTGAATTGAAGCTATATATTTAAATAGTTTTTTCTTTTGGACTGGCTCCTGATGTATATATATATATATATATAATTATATGTGTGTGTGTATATGTGTATATGTGTGTATATGTGTATATCTACTTACATACATACATGCATACATGCATACATACATACATCTTTCCAGTTTATTTATCTTCATTTACGTAAATTTAAAATAACACTTATAATTTAGTAACTATATAGTTCTGTTTTTTATTTGTTGCAGCTTATAATCGAGATGGAAACAGTAATCATGAACATTCCCATGAAGATTTTCACCGATAGCATCCATTAACTCTATGGTGTCGTGTTAGTTAATTAATTTACCAATATTTAATTAATTTGTTAAGGAAAATATTTACCATTATCCACTATATTTGATCTCACTAAATCTCCTTGTTTTGTAGAAAGGAAGTGTTTCAAATGTGGAAAGGTGGGGCATTTGGCCAAAGCCTGTAGATCCAACATCAAGCCCGCACTATAATATACCGGGTGTATAAA